AAGCAGTCTGCTATCTCCCTATTGAAGTAGACCGTGTATCTCGCATGATGAAAGTGTTGATAGTTCCAGGAATGGGTGAACAGGTTTTCTTGGGCGTCGACTTTATCCACACTTTCGGCGTGATACACGATGGTAGTCGGAGAGCATGGTATATGTCCGACTACCCAGATTCGGTACATCACTATACCGAAGAGGGGCTTGAAGCCATAAGAATAGAGGGTGAAAATGCACAACCACAACCAGACCAAATAAACGGTTTAGTAACTATTACAGAACAAGAGAGAGAAGATTTAGAAAAGTTTGTTTCTTCTCTCCTCCGTTTAGTTCCCGTTAACTTACCCGCTACAGACCGTATACAACACGTCATCGATGTTCAGAACCATCCCGCTATAAAGCAGCGGTATTATAGGGTTTCCCCTAAGGTCCTGAAAGCGATGCATGATGACGCGTTAAGAATGTTAGCAGAGGGTATAATCGAACCGTCGAAAAGCGGATGGTCTAGTCCAGTGGTTATGGTTCGGAAATCAGACGGAACGTATCGACTATGCATAGACTTCCGTAAATTGAACAGTATTGCTAAAACCGATGCTTATCCGTTACCAAAAATGGATATGATCCTCGAGAAGCTCAGAGCAGCTAAGTATATCACGACACTCGACTTAAAATGGGGTTATCATCAAATTCCTTTAGACGAAAAAAGTAAAGAATACACCGCATTTACAGTACCAGGGTTAGGACTATACCAATTCACGCGTATGCCATTTGGGCTATCGGGAGCCCCTGCAACCTTTCAAAGGCTGATCGATTCCCTTATTGGTCCGGATATGGAACCATACGTGTATGCGTACCTAGACGATATCGTGATAGTGACTGAAACCATCGCGGATCATAAGAAATGGTTAAAAATAGTAATAAACCGTCTACAAGAAGCAGGTTTAACAATTAATCCGGCGAAAAGTAAATTCGGCCTAACGACAGCTCGTTATTTAGAATTTCTTGTTAACAGCAAAGGATTATAAGTAGACCCGGATAAAATCGAACCAATCCAGACATACCCGGCACCAAAGACAATCAAGCAACTCCGAAGATTTCTCGGAATGGCGTCGTGGTACAGGCATTTCATACCTCAACTAGCGACATTGGCAGAACCCCTAAATAAATTATTGAGAACAGGTATTTCATGGCAATGGGAAGATTCCCAACAGAATCGTTCGATAAACTCAAGGAACTAATCGCTACAGCACCGACCCTGACGTACCCAGATTTTACATTACCGTTTGAACTACACACCGACGCAAGCGATTTCGGTATTGGTGCAGTTCTTACCCAAGTACAAAACGGAAAAAACCGGGCGATAGCTTACGCAAGCCGAACTTTGACGGAAACCGAACGGAAATACTCTGTAACCGAAAGAGAATGTCTCGCTGTAATTTGGGCAGTTAAGAAATATCGTCATTACCTCGAGGGGTTTCATTTTACTGTCATTACTGACCACAGCTCATTACCTTGGCTACACAGCTTACACACAGGGCGACTAGGTCGTTGGGCGTTGGATCTCCTAGAATACGATTTCGAAGTAGTGTATCGAAAGGGATCAGAACACGTAGTCCCAGATGCACTATCTAGAATGTATGAAAAGGAGTTGGCCCTGCCAATAGCTGCCATGACCCTAGTCGAAGACCCTTGGTACTGCCAACGTATGAGGGAAGTTAATGAAACTCCGAGGAAATTTCACGGTTGGAAAGTTACGGACGATAAACTTTACCGATTTTGCCCAAATCCCTTGATAGAATCAGTATTAGATGACCTTGATGCTTGGAAATTAGTGGTCCCGGCAGAACAAAGGGCAACAGTGTTCAATGAAATCCACAACGAACCCCAAGCAGGCCATCTTAGAATCGAGAAAACGTATCAAAGAGCGAAAACAGACTACTACTGGTCAGGAATGTATAGAGATATTAAGAAATGGGTCAGTACGTGCGATCTGTGTCAAAAGATTAAACCTGACCAAAGACCCGCCGCCGGTTTAATGAGAAGACGGGTAATACAAATACCATGAACAGTAGTAGCAACCGATGTCATGGAGCCTTGGCCCAAAAGTTCACTCGGATTCCAATACGTAATTATATTCGAAGACTTGTATACAGCATGGATAGAAATAGCTCCAATGCGTAAAGCAAACGCGGAAACTATTATTAAAGCCTTCGAAGACCTTATTTGGAATCGATGGGGGGCACCCCAAGTCCTAGTTTCGGACAACGGCACCGAGTATGTCAACTCAGCGTTCGAAGGACTAACAGAAGCGTACGGAATTAAACACTCATTCACACCAGTCTACCACCCGCAATCTGATCCGGTACAACGGGTGAACCGAGTGCTTAAAACGATGATTTCCGCGTACGTTTCAAAGAATCACAGACAATGGGACGTGTACTTGAAAGACTTACGTTTTGCGTACAACACAGCGGTACACAGTAGCACTGGTGTGAGCCCAGCGTATCTTAAAATGGGAAGAGAACCAAAACCTTACCATAACCTCAGAAACCGCGTAGACGAACCGATAGATCCCACACATGAAAATCAGAATGAAAGGCTAGAAAGGATAGAAAAACTGAAAGAACTGCAAGACCTCGTATCCCTTCAAATGGAAAATACATTCGAAAGACAGAAAATAAATTATGACAAAAGACGCAGACATGTAGTTTTCCAGGTCGGAAACAAGGTTATGTGCAAAAGACAAGTAACTTCATCCGCCAGTAAAGGAATCACACGGTCATTTGGTGGTAAAAATCAAGGTCCATTTACAATAGTACGCGTATTAGGACCGTTGGTTTACGAAATCGCAACAGAAAATGGTAGAATATTAGGTAGGTTCCCCATTAAGTTACTTATCCCCTATAGAGAACCTAGGGAGGGGGAGAATAGGAGAACATCTGAAGAATAAGTCTCCTAAATTAAAAAAAAAAAGTTTTGTTTTATTTTCTGCATGTAATAATAATACGCTTAATACGCTTGGCTAGTAAATTGCTTAATTTTTTTTTGCTTCGCTTCTGCTATTATTTGTAAATGGGACATAATGATTGGTTTTTTTTATCTTCCAATTATATGAAAGACTAAGGAAAGAAATCCCATTCTGATTTATAGAGGAGGAAGAAGAACTTAGACACCAAGCCGAGAGACGTCGTGAGTTGGGCCAGAGAATGGAACAGTTGTTCCTGGAGTACGACGAAACCGAGAGTAGAGACAGTTCAACACGGAGGGAGGACAGACAGACGGTGAGACCGAGACAAACCCAGCCAACACTGACCCAAAGATACAATCCGAGGCAGGAGGATGATTATTGGGAAAATTGGCATCATTCCAGACCGTTCCACTACACCTGGCAAGTAGACTCCTATCCGGGTGAACCGAAAAGATCGAGAGAGGTGGAGCAGACACGGAGACACATACCCAATACACCGAACAAGTCTGGGAACCAGCAGGTGGTCATTCCGACCGAAGCATGAGTCGCAACTCCGCACGGACTACCGACTCAGAAGAAACCGGACCAAACCGCCAAGCCCAAGCTGACATCTCTGGTCGGCGAGAAAATGAGACCTGGAGGGAATTTCGCTTGAGAACGGAGCCAAATAGACCTCCAAAATTTATACGAGAAATGGAACGCGAAAAGAGAGCAGAAGAAGCCGCCAAAAAGCGCAACCAGAGCCGCGAAAACAAGGCGAAAGAACGGGCAGAAAAGGAAGCAGCCTATAAAAAGAGACTAGAGGAAGCGGAAGTTCTCTGGAATGAGAGGCAAGCTAGAGAAGAAGCTCGTAGACAAGCTCGTAAGGAGGAACAAGAGCGAGAATCCGAAGCACGGGAAAAGGCCGAGGTGGAGAGAGCGAAGGAAGTCGCACGGAGTTTTGCCGAACAAATAAGTATGGAAGCCATCGTGAGATGGGAATTACAACGGTCAGCCGAACTAGGGGTACCTCTACAATGGTGAGTAAAATGTCACCAGAGAGGACACCTTGAAGATCAGTGCTCAAAGAGAGATTGATCCACATACAATTTTTTTTTGGTTGTTTATTCTTTTCGTTTCTTTTCGATTAAGACTTCATAGAGTCTAACAAGTAACACTACCCAACTGTTAATCACCGATTTTGATGAAACTTGGCACACTTTAAAAACATCGAAAAATATTAAACACGTACATTTTTATATAGGCCCGTTTTAAGTTTTAAGGGTAGAAAACACCCTCTTTCAATTTAAGGGATGAAAAGCAGTATTTTATAGGGAAATTACTATATTTGCTTGAAACGTGTTACTCGGGGGTTTTTGGTGTCGCTGATTACGATTCCAAAGTCAGAATTGAAAAATTCAAAATGGCAGATCCAATATGGCGGACAATAAATTAGAAATTTAATCGGATTTGCTTGAAACTCGTTACTCGGGGGTTTTTGGGGTCGCTGATTACGAATCAGATGTTAGTTGTTTAAAATTCAAAATGGCGGATCCAACTTATCTAATAAAGGCATGATGTAATGCCGAATCCAGCCTGTAAAGGCAAGATGTAGTACTCCAACCAACAAAGGCAAGATGTAATATTCCAACCAACAAAGACAAGATGCAATAATCAAACGAACAAAAATATAAACGGACAAGAACTTGTTACTCGGGGGTTTTTAAGGTTGCTAATTACAAATTTAATGCCAAATTTCAATAAATTAAACGTGATACTTCAATAATGTAACCAGATTTCTTCAACAGTTGTGAAGAAGTGCAATGTGCACATAGATTGGAGTTAAAATTCTGTCAAACAACAATGTAGTGTTGATGATATTTGAGGATTTATGTAAAATTACTATCAGTATTCTCTTGTTTCATCTCCACCCTAGGTATTCTTTTCTTTAAAACTGTCACTTCAAGTTGTAAGATTAATTTTTCCAATTTTTAGTTAATAACAAAATGTTATTAGCCTTTGTTGGCTGGAATGTAACATCTTACGTTTGTTGGTTGGATTATTGAATCTTGCCTTTGTTGGCTGGAATGTAACATTTTACCTTTGTTGGTTGGATTATTGCATCTTGCCTTTGTTGGCTGGAGTGTAACATTTTACCTTTGTTGGTTGGATTATTTGCATCTTGCCTCTGTTGGCTGGAATGTAACAACTTACCTTTGTTGGTTGGAGTATTAGATCTTGCCTCTATTGGCTGGAATGTAACATCTTACCTTTGTTGGTTGTATTACTGAATCTTGCCTTTGTTGGCTTGAATGTAACATTTTACCATTGTTGGTTGGATTATTGCATCTTGCCTTTGTTGGCTGGAGTGTAACATTTTACCTTCATTGGTTGGATTACTGAATCTTGCCTTTGTTGGCTGGAATGTAATATCTTACCTTCGTTGGTTGGATTACTGAATCTTGCCTTTGTTGGCTGGAATGTAACATCATACCTTTGTTGGTTGGATTATTGCATCTTGCCTTTGTTGGCTGGAGTGTAACATTTTACCTTTGTTGGTTGGATTATTTGCATCTTGCCTTTGTTGGCTGGAATGTAACAACTTACCTTTGTTGGTTGGATTATTGCATCTTGCCTTTGTTGGCTGGAGTGTAACATTTTACCTTTGTTGGTTGGATTATTTGCATCTTGCCTTTGTTGGCTGGAATGTAACAACTTACCTTTGTTGGTTGGAGTATGAGATCTTGCCTTTGTTGGCTGGAATGTAACATTTTACCTTTGTTGGTTGGATTATTGCATCTTGTCTCTGTTGGCTGGAATGTAACATCATACCTTTGTTGGTTGGAATATTGAATCTTGCCTTTGTTGGCTGGAATGTTTTTTTATAAGTTGATCCTCAGTTGAGAATTAAGTTTTCATTTTTTGTTTGTTTGGTTGTTCCTCCAGTTCTTTTTTTTTATTAGTTTCATCTATTTTTTTTACTCTTATCTTTAGCAAATACAGTATTGGAAACTGAAGACTGAAAGATATAAGAGAGGCTAGGTTAAGGTTAACCGTAAGATTGTATTTTGTATCATTTTTTTTGTTTTGCTCTGAGATTATATTCCCATCGGTAAATACCGGAATACACATTTTTTTAATAACCAAAGAAAGAGGCTGTAATTAAACCGTGTTCGGGTATAAGAGCTATTTTTATAATAAATCTAATTTTTCATATATAATTATTGAATAATCCTTGACCCCCTATTCACTCCTCATGGATGGTGTTTGAGAACCACGAGATTCGGTAAGTTTTATAATCTATGTTTCTCGTAAGTTTAAAATGGAACTAAATCATCGAAGGTAGACAGAACACTGCTGGTGTGGATGGGAAATCACGGGTAAGACATTTTTGTTTATTCTTCAATAAATGTTCTATCTGTCAGATCAATAATGAATCAATAATAGAAATTATTTTGGTTCTCTTTTATACTTTATCCAATAATTAAAAGAAATATTGAAATTGTATTTGGTTGGATAAACTAAAATAATAATTGAAAGGTGTCTGATGGAAAGGAAGAATCAGATCAATTGTCTGATAAAATTTGGGGAATATGTTTCGACTAAGCCCAGGGGAGTTGTAACGTGATAATTGAAATACCCTGTTTAAACGCGATTTTCAGAGTTATCGCCGAATAACATATTGATTAAAGTTTCTTAAATTCGTAAATGATCGCGTTTCGATTGAATAACACGATATATTAGCCAAGCCCGGACTCAACTTTTTTCTTATATATTTCCTACCACATTTCATTTATTATTGTAATTTTCATATGTTTATTGAAAGGAAAAATGTTATTTCATTTACGTAAAATATTCTTTCTTTTATTTTGTTAATGAAAACATCATAATAATAATTTGTAAAATACGTCGACAAGAAATAAGAACTCAAATTATTATTGAGAAAAGTGATATTGTATTTCTCTATAAAAAGAGAAATCCACATAAGTAATAATGTAAATCTATCAATGGAATTGATTAGTCAGAGGAGAAAGAAGAGTCAACTGAAAAAGTCCAATCTTCACAAAGTCTCTATTATTGATTATGAATTATAATTAATAATTGTCAACGAAAAGCCGACTATAATTAGGCACGGAAGTACCGAGGTTATCAACCGGCAGGGGCCTTCCGCATTGCGCAGGTCACTGGGTCAGGCGACCCTGATGTAATTGCCAGTTCGAGTTTGGCTACTCGTGAGTGACAACACGAAATCGAGAAAAACTATTTAATTTTCCAATAGATACGGTGTAACCGAGGTTAAAGGGAGAGTAATATGGATTACCGGAGAATATTAAAGAAACTCCAAGGTTAGTGTCTCATTCTTCCTGTCCGGTAATGGCACCACAAAGATAAAAGGAAAAGTCGGGAAAAGTGTTTAACCGCATGGCGGAACAAAGGACGCCGACGCATTTCGCTCTGACTAGTCTCAACGACACAGCAGCGTGGATTTCTCGAAAAATAAAAAAGAATCAAAAATTAATAAAGTGTTCAAATTGTTATTAATTTTTACAGTGTTTTATTAGTGATAAAAGTGTATTGTTTTCCCTCTCTCTCTCCCGTGTACGAAAAATCCACGTCCCTGAGATAAAGTGCGGCATGGTAAAAATATAATGATGAGTTCGCGGTAAATAGAGCTAGTCCGGGAAGAGCTCATAGTCATTATTAATTAGCGGAGGTCCGAGTAATTAATTACTTGACGCTGGGATAACCCTAAACGGATCACCGTTGGTTGCCGGTAAATTTATAAGAGATTTACGGGATCGAAATCGTTCCCGCCATCGTCGCCATTTTTGTAGCGTTTTTCTTTGGAATTTTCCATTGAGCATAAGTTCAATGGGAAATGATTAACGAAATAGAAAGAGACAGAGAATAGCGTTACAATAGGAAAAAGTTATTTAAAAAAAATACAAAAAACGAATTTTTCAAAGATTCAAAAAAATTATTTAATTTGAGGACTTTCGTATAATATGAACTTTATATAGGTATAAACATCCAAACGTTTCTGTGTTAATTAAATAACAAAATATTTTGTTACACACACATAGATATATATGTATATAGACATTTGCTCAGGACTTTATATATATTTAATATAGATGACAATGTGTCCATATAACTTTCTATTGGAAAATGCTGCTTGGGGAATGTATTAAAAATTTAAATTAATATAACACAATAAATAACATAAACATCAATCAAAAAACATACAATACATAAAGAACATAAATCTTTAACAAGTAACATAAATCATAAACGAAGAACATAATTGAACCTAAAAAACCTAAAAACAGTTATTTATATTTAAATATTTTTTAAAAAAGATAATTTTATCAGTGTTCAATTGAACATAGTTATAAATTTTAATATTGTAGATAAAAAAATCTAGAGTAAGTGCAATACTGATTGTCGAGGTACATATTTATTCATTGTAATACGATATCACCTTCAGTAAAAGTTAAAAAATTTTTTTTTATTATTTGTCTAAATTTAAGATTATTATATTTTGAAATGTATTAATTCTATAGAAAAAATTATTAAACTCACATGTTACCTTCAATCATCGACAATTAATGCTTTTACTCTATTTAATTAATTAAATTTTTTTTATTTTATTAATTTACGATGCAAAACAAGTTTATTAAATATTTTAAGAATAAACAATTACTTCTTAATTTCTTCTACTTCAAAATTGTTAATATTAATTAATGTAGTTTGAAGTATTGATATGGTTTTTCTTGAATTAAATTCATTAATTTTTCCTTCTTTTACAAGTATAATTGAATTTAATTCTTCATTAAAAGTTTCGGCATTTTCTCTCCAAAATACTAAATCAATCTGTAAAGAATTTAAAAAATAATTATTTATATAAAGGAAAAAAAGATTATTAAGTAAAGATGCCTTCGAGAATATGATTTTTTAAAAGTGTGTGTTAATAATTGACATTTCAAATAGAACTTCGCATTGTTGCGCTGCAATATTGAGAAAATTTTACACGACAAGTCTGAGGTTATATTGCCAAGTAGTATTCAGGCAATATTAAAATAATTATTATTAAAATAATTGTAAATTCGTTATCGCTGATTATTGCGTTAAACTTTCAAAAAGTACTGAAAAAAATGCAAAACCGATTAAAAGTTGATAAATAATTTCTTTAAAAAAACATTATTTATTGTGTGTCATGAGAAAGCCTTAACAACATGAATAAGTCTTTTTCCCGTCTTTAATTGAATGTGATATGTTTAAAAATTACGATAAAATTTTTTAAAAATAATTCACAACATTACTACATATATTTCCATTAAATTTTTATATATTACCACATAAATTACCATAAATTATCCTATAAATTTCAATAATTAGGTTTTAAAATTTTCTTTTATATATTATAAATTATTTTAAAAATTTCATACATTACCGTATAAATTTCACAAATTACCTCCTAAATTTCCGTGAATTACCAAATAAATTTTCTGATTTAGTTTTTTGATTCTTAAATTTTTTTTGTATTATTATTATTATAAATTTCCTCAAAAATTTCATAAATTACAATTAATAATTTTATTTTTATAATTTTATTTTTTATTATATTAAAAATTATTTAAAATTTTTATTAAGTACCACAATATCTCTTTATATTACATTTAGTTTAAATATAATTTCTTTAAAATTTTCAAAAACTATAAAGAATTTGTCAGGCCTATTACAGATATTTCGTTCTTGACGAATACTTAAAAGTTATACTGTGATTTCAATTTTAATTTGAAAAAAATTCTATAATAGCAGAAACCAAATTGTTTCTAAAACCACTATTTTCTTTTTCATCACTTATTGTGACATTTCGTTATTGAATTTTTTTTCCCTCTCTTGTATGTATTGTTTCAACCTCATCTATATTTGTTATTATTCCAAATGTATCTAAAAATTTTTGAATAAGGTTAATCATTTTGATCATAATGGAAATTTTAATTTAATAATATATAATAAGGAAATTACTTTAAATTTTCACTTTACCTATTATTTTGTTTGGAATACTAGAATGAATTTGCTCTATTTTTATGAAATTAAATTTATTACTTGGTAATGTAATAATGGTTTCTTCATTAATAATGCTCTCTTCATTTAACTGAAGTTCAAATTTATTTGAAAAATTATTAAATTTTTTATTTGCAGTTGCAAATGTAACATTTGAAAAAATGTACTGCTTTCCTACCTTTGTTTAAAAAAATAGTTTATTTTAATGACATATTAGTGGCATTCTTTTTAAAAAAAGTACTCCCAAAAAAAAGATCTGTGATTGGCATTATATTTCGTTTATAAGGTTTTTCAACTATAGAGGGTTTTGAGTTTTAAAGGTTTCTGAACATATAATTCGACATATAAAGGTTTTTAGATACTGTACATTTATACATAATAAAAGTGTTCATATTTACGTAAGATTGTTAATTTTAAACAATAGTTTTTTAATATCTGTTATTTTTGAAAATATTAAAAGAAAAAATAAAGAAGAAATCTGTTAAAAAAGAAATAATAAAAATCTCTGTTTAACAACAATTAACGATATGCTGTTGCAGGGGAATAAAAATTACTTCGAGTTATAGAGGTTTTAGAATTCTAGTTACAGAGGTTTTTAAGTTTCTAGGGAAGAGAATGGAGATTTTATTCGACTTATCGAGGTTTTACTGAATTTAAATTTTAATCCACTAAATTTTTATTATTTTTTATAAAAAAAAATTCATATTTTCTGATTTTGTTAATTTCTTATATGACAACAATTTATCAAACTATTAAATTAATTTCCGAATTTTTTTAGGTGGTGATTTTTTTATGAGA